TATAAGGCTTCAGAAATTTGATGGAACAATTGTTTGGGAAAACACCTACCCTCATCAACTTTTTATTGCCGTCCAATAATGTTTAAATTTACAAAAGAAACGCAGTCAACAGTGACAATTATAAAAGCTAGCATAACAGAAGAAATAGAAAGACTTCAGCCATCAAAAATCAAACAAGTTGAAGTTAAGCATCAATTGCACATGATGATGATAGACGGCAAAATAACCTCATATTTTTCAGAAACATTTTCTGCTGTCTGTGATATTTGCAAAGCAAAACCGTCAGAGTTTTTTGGAGTGACTTGCTTATCAAAGAGAAAATAATGAAGAAATATTCCAGTATGGAATGCCATCTTTACATGCCTGGATAAGATGCATGGAGTGCTTACTTCATATCGGTAAATATAATTTTATTACTTCACAATTTTTTCATCGTATGTAGTTTCCTGTGAGATTATTTTTTATATGACACTTTTTTGTTTGCGTCTTATCGTTTGGACTTCAAGAAATGGAGTTGCAAGGGGCGATGACAAATACAAAATAACAACCAGAAAAAAGTGCTATACATCAGCCCGTTTAAAAAAAGAATGCGGTTTACTTAAGCAAGGAGTAGGAACAACCAATGATGGCAATACTGCCAGAAGATTTTTCAGGGATGCAGAAGAAACAGCCCGCATAACAGGAATACGTAAAGATTTAATAGAGAGGCTTCACGTGATTCTTCACTCTGTTGCATCTGGAGAGCGCGTTTCCGATTTTTCTTCGGATTTTTTTAGATATATCGCATAATGTTATGTATATATATGTATATAACTAGTCAGGTCATAAGTATTGTCACACAGTAAAAACTTTTCTTTTAGAATGCTGGCCACAAAAAAGTTTATTGAATTCGAATTTCGAATTGTTCATGAAAATAAAAATGTATACTTTTAGAAAATTTTACTCATTTTTAAATATGGAGTGGACGCTTAAAGAAGTGCAGTTATTCGTTGCATCGTTGCGGTTACGCGCCAATTCAAATTTTTAACATACTGAAAAATTTGAATATAACCAAAAGATTCGTTTATCGTACCATCAAACGATACAATGAAGACTCTAGTGTAGATGACAGGTCAAGAAGTGGTCGCCCTCGGTCTGTTAGGACTCCAGCAGTGATAAAAGCTGTGAAGGCGCGAATTCAAAGAAATCCCAAACATAAGCAGAAACTGTTGGCCCTTCAGATGGGGTTAAGCAGAACCACGGTGAAAAGGGTGTTAAATGAAGACTTAGGGCTTCGGGAGCTGCTGCTCAACAACAAACAACCCCCGGGGTGGGGGGGGGGGGGGGAGGAGGAGGAAAAGCGATATGCCCGAAGCCCTAAGTCTTCATTTAACACCCTTTTCACCGTGGTTCTGCTTAACCCCATCTGAAGGGCCAACAGTTTCTGCTTACGTTTGGGATTTCTTTGAATTCGCGCCTTCACAGCTTTTATCACTGCTGGAGTCCTAACAGACCGAGGGCGACCACTTCTTGACCTGTCATCTACACTAGAGTCTTCATTGTATCGTTTGATGGTACGATAAACGAATCTTTTGGTTATATTCAAATTTTTCAGTATGTTAAAAATTTGAATTGGCGCGTAACCGCAACGATGCAACGCAATAACTGCAACACTCTTCGTCCATCCATATTTAAAAATGAGTAAAATTTCCTAAAAGTTATAATTTTAAATTTTCATGAACAATTCTAAATTCGAATTTCAATAAACTTTTTTGTGGCCAAGCAATTCTAAAGAATAAGTTTTTAGCTGGTGCACATACTTATGACCTGACTAGTTATTGAGATACCAAGGGATATAAATTAACATACAATTCTGCAGTATATCTAAAAAATTCCGAAAAATTGGAAACGCGCTCTCCAGATGCAACAGAGTGAAGAATCACGTGAAACCTCTCTATTAAATCTTTACGTATTCCTGTTATGCGGGCTGTTTCTTCTGCATCCCTGAAAAATCTTCTGGCAGTATTGCCATCATTGGTTGTTCCTACTCCTTGCTTGACAACATCTACGCTTGCTGAATAGCACTTTTTCTGGTTGTTATTTTTTGTTTGTCATCGCCCCTTGCAACTCCATTTCTTGAAGTCCAAACGATAAGACGCAAACAAAAAAGTGTCATATAAAAAATAATCTCACAGGAAACTACATACGATGAAAAAATTGTGAAGTAATAAAATTATATTTACCGATATGAAGTAAGCACTCCATGCATCTTATCCAGGCATGTAAAGATGGCATTCCATACTGGAATATTTCTTCATTATTTTCTCTTTGACAAGCAAGTGACTACAAAAAACTCTGACGGTTTTGCTTTGCAAATATCACAGACAGCAAAAAATGTTTCTGACAAATATGAGGTTATTTTGCCGTCTATCATCATCATGTGCAATTGATGCTTCACTTCAACTTGTTTGATTTTTGATGGCTGAAGTCTTTCTATTTCTTCTGTTATGCTAGCTTTTATAATTGCCACTGTTGACTGCGTTTCTTTTGTAAATTTAAACATTATTGGACGGCAATAAAAAGTTGATTAGGGTAAATCGTTTTCCCAAACAACTGTTCCATCAAATTTCTGAAGCCTTATAGGAACTAGACTGACCATGAAAATAGATGAATCATCAAACTCTGTTTCAGTTTTCTGTTTATAAATACTTTGACCTGGGGCTCTATCAAAGCCTATTTGCTTATAAGCAGTAGCTCTCTTGCTGAGTCCAAATCCAAAGTAATCACATCTAAGAGCCTATATAACGCCAAGTTTAGTAATGCTTGCATTTTAATAGCAGCTCCTTCTTCAGTAATAATTACCTCGTCTTTCCCTGGATAACATTTGGTCTTTTCTTGCTTAATTTTATATTAAGAAGGGTATAAATCAGACCCATTTTCACTTGCTGCTTCTCTTAGGTTTATATACTGCCACTTACTTAATTTAAGTGAAACTAATAGTGCC